TTAAACATATGCTACCAGAGAATGCCTACACGTTTACATGTTATTTTTCTGTGAAGCTAATGATTATGTGAAGGCTAAAGTGAAGAGAGATGGATATTTGTGCCTTAGTATGGCTTCTGGTGAGGGTATATCGTTTCTGAAAAATTGCCAACATAGACCAGTAAGTAGCCTTTCTAGGTGTTCTTCATCATTTGAAAGAAAGCTAAATAAAGAAATAAAAGTGGGAAAAATTGCTAAATTTCCGGAACTGCATTATGCATGAAACACATGTCCCTGTGTTTGCATGCATGTGTACATACTGAATAATTTATGGTAAATTTGTAAAAAAAATTGTGTGTGTGTTTGAGTATTGCTCCAAACAAAGCTCCGTGTTTTCTCAGCCACAGTTGTGGCCCTCCCATTTCTATGCTTGCGAAACATGGAGCAATATAAAGAAACATCTGTGCTGGTTTGAAACATTCAGGCTGGCCTGCCAGCCTGCCTGCAATCCATCCTGAATTTAACCAGCCTGCATTTTGTGAGGAGCTCACAGATCCTTGAAATATCTGGTCACAGTCCCATAAGTGAACTCCTCTGGCAGACAAGGCTGCGTTGGCTGGGTCATATAGCCCACATGCCCAGCTACTGCGAGCCCAAGCAGTTTCTGTTCGGCCGGATAGAGAGGGCTAAATGCGCATGGCACAGACTGATGTGGTCTAGAAGGATGTGGAACCAGTTACACCAACTGATGACATATAGGCTATTGCGACCAATATTATTTATAATAAAGGTTTTAAGGGTTTGATCACGTAAATATAAATGTGTCGTTAACCCACCACCACCCGACACAGCCAAAAACCTTCATTATGAATAGTACCAGCGATGTCAAGATCGGCCTCTGTGGAGGAGGTTCGTTAAGGACGCTACTGAGTAGTTAGAGGCTGTTTCCCTTCAACAACAAATGAGAGCAGAGGAGCAACACTTAAAACAACGGGTGGAGCGCCAGTCAACTAAAACGAAGCAAGTTGGACAGTGAGGACCACAGGTGGTGCATCTGCCAGTCATCTCAGTCAGCCATCCTTCACACCTGGGTCTGTGTTGTCACCCCCTGCCAGCGAGCGTTCGACACTTCACGTCGCCTCAAGTTGCACCCTAGCCTGATGCAAGCTATATGGTGATGTCACCGCCACTTATTGGCAAATGTCTCTTGTATCCAAGAACATGGCTGGGGAGGAGCAACAGTGTAGGGGTCAGCGAGCTGCACTATGAACCCAGGAAACCGAGTTCGATTACCGCTCACGGCCAACATTCGGTGACGAATATCTGAACCAGTCCTGGGCCTCCCCTAGGTAGACTGAGGTTTAAATGAGTACATGCTTTGGCATGTAAACAGCATTGGGGATACAAAGGCACCCGGGTTTGGTCGTGGCCAACCACCCGCATATGTGTTGTTCTGGCATTAATCAGTGCTTGCTAACAGTACATGATCCAAGAGTATTTTAAAGCCTATACCGGGGATCTCTGCCTTTCTATACACACACTACCAAAACCTGGGATAAAACCGGGGAACCTTAAATGTCTGAGACGCTCCCTACTGAGGGGAGCGAGAATGCAGCGGTTAGTTCACTGCATGACATACCTGGCGATCGGTATTAAATTCCCGGCCATGGCTAACATCAGTGGTGATTAACATGACCGGACCTGGGCCTCCCCTGGGTTGAATCAGCCTTAAAATAGTACTTGGACACAAGGGTGGCTTTGAGTGCTGGAGGCGACCGCCGTGCATGCCGTGCTGGTACATTACGAGATGCTCGCTAATAGAGGACTAACCACGACAGTCTTGTGCAGCCTATGTTTTTGTATTCCCATGCAACGAACAAAAATAAACTCACTTTTCATCTCCTGCAAGTGTGGAAAAGGTTTTCGATGGCCTGTTCTGCACCATGCCCAAGGTGATCTAATCTATCAGTGTCCAACAAGAGTGCGCTCCAAGATTAGCATCGTCTTAACAACCACTGTGGAAAGTTAAACCAGCAGTCATGGGTCTGCACAGATCCTTCAACTGAAACACCGCAACGAATGAAGAATCAAGTTAAGGCAATTCAGCTAGAAATTGGATTACACATTGTATTGATTAGCACATTTTTCCTATTGAGTACGAGGGTCCTCCCTATATTTTTGTGCTGGCTATTTCACGGGGAAAATCAGTTTCAGGCCCTGGATTACTTTGAAATTGGTTCTTGCTGTGATTGTCACAGAAACATTGCAAACATTACCATGTGAGTGTATTTTCTATAGCAAAGCCTAAAGACCAGTATTTGTTGATAAATGATGCGGAGCCAAGACGTAAATAGAAATACATTAAAGGCAATAGTTCAAAATAGCCAATTGCAATGTAGGAATTTGGTCTTCAGATACATAGCTCAGAGGTGCCAGAATAGAATTGTATTGTGGGATACTTCCTTACCAATAATATGCGTATTATGATACGTTCAATATGCATCACACAGAACGATGTTGTTGCCTGGGATATTTACTAGGAATATTACTTGCTGTACTAGGATGCAATGATGAATCACCAGGTTAGAACTTCTTCCGCACCATACGTTGCCAACCATGCTAATCGCATTTGTGACATGAAAACACCAACCATTTGAGAATTATAGTAAAATGTTTTATCCATAGCCTTCTTCTCATCCACAGATATTTACAGTTGTATGGCTGAGCCACAATTCCTCCGAATTACTCGCAGTTTGACCTTCCTCTTGTCTGAAATTTCCCAGATCGGAAGATCAGGTCATTTTGTTACCGATGATTGTTTATTATTGTTATTATGCTCGTTGATCCAGGAATGCCTCATTGAGTCTCAAGACATTTTCTTGAGTATCCCAGCACGTTTTTTTTTTAGTACAAGAAAATGTTTCCATGTGTAATCCTTGTCATTTGCAACACGTTTTTCAGCACTGGAATGTTTGTACGGTACCAGTAAATGTGTACTTTTTTGCTGAGGGAGAAAATCAGAAAACCCAAAGAAACCCAATGCATAAAAAAGGGAAGAAAGTACAGCCTCCACACAGCAAGGGACCCGTGTCGCGAATTGATCCCAGCCCCTTCTTGCTTTGAGGCACAAGTGTTACCATTGCGCCAGACTGTGCCACCCTACCGAAACCTCAAAGATCAGAAATGGTGAATATGATGAATATGACTATGCTTAAAATTATGGTTGATTGCAGCCCACCGTAAATAATGGATAATGAAGATGGCAATTGTTTACTGCTTCTGCCATCGGCAGTCCTTGCCAGTGAGATGGCTGGCTCGCTAGCATAGACAGTGGCATGACACTCAAGAGAGGTTGGAAACCACGTGTGAGGTGAACAACGTTTTGCACACACGAGAATGCATGTATGTTGAATTTCTTTCACATCGTACATAGCCAACCATGCTAATCCGAGGTGCGAGAAGAACTGGAAGGAAGGTCATGGATATGGCAATAACTGATGATGATGGACGCTGAAGATAATGACAAAATGTATCATTATAGTTTTCTGATACGTTTGTGGGTTGTACCATGTGTTGTTCGGCATTATTATACCCAGGTCATTCTTACTGAGTGTCAACCATTTTTTAAGATGGTCCTAAGTATTATCAGTCGGGGGAGATAAATTTTTAGTTTGTTGTCCTTCCTCCACACTTAATTAGCATGCTTGGCTACGTACAGTGCGAAATAAGTTATACATTATGTGTTACCCAAATAAGCAATCTGTGAGTAAATCTTCAAATCTATCATATTTTGACCATGATGTCGTCACACAATGGCTTACTCTATTGGAATGACGTCACGGGATCTTTATTGTCCACTGTGAAGCAGACGGAAAGATGTGAAACTTTTCACTGCAAGATGGCGGATGATGATGACGACGATGACGAAGTCATGGCATTTAGGATGTAACTTTTCAACGCATTCACCAGTCGTCCAACAATGGGACTGCGAGGTACAGCCTACTGCACTACACTGCGCTACACCACACTGCACCGCATACTACAATCATCCTGTTATCCACAATTATAATGCTTAATTGGCACAGAGAGGAGAGGAATTGTATATATATAATAGTATAACCATGTCCATCTAGTGCTCGCTGAGTGGCATTGGCTTCCCGTTTCTGAATTAATACATTTTAAGGTCGCACTAATTACTAACAAAGTGCTTGCTACAAACGAACCACAATACCTTGCTGAGCATAAACCATCAAGAAAACTCTAGTCATCCTCGGTCACTGCATCGCGCACTTTTAGATGCGCTTCTGGAGCTCTCTGGAATGTTCTTCATTCTGATATTAGGATGCCACTGGAGCTATGCACTTTAAAATCTAGATTTAAAACTAATTTCTTTAGACCTGACTTTTGTATTTACATTGTTCTCCTTCCCGCGCACCTATGATTAGCACGGTTGGCTTACATACGGTGCAAAAGAAGTTCAACATGCATACACACGAATGAAACTTCGAAGGTTAACAACAATGATAAGAGTGGCAGCCAAGAAACTCAACATGTCCAAGTGTACTTCCACCAAGGGGATGGAGCGATGAAATTAGCTTGTGTGCCGGTGCTGGGTGGGTTGTTACATTACAGTATCATGAGAGACGATGGTTGATTAGAGATACCTTCCTCCAGCAGTGGATTGACCACAGCTGGTGATGATGTTGAAAGTAATGTTTAAGCAATAACCAATACTGGATTAGCACAATGCATAAAATGAAAAGGTCCATTTTCATAATTCATATTAAAAGCTACCTAAACTTGATTCGTTTAAGAGTGGCATTAATTTAACATTGTGGGCTGAAATAACCATGGTAATTTAGGATTCAAGAAATGATTTCCCTAATGTGAAGGATAATTTTAATTCCTTCTAAAAACATGTATTCTCATTGTAAAGTGGACAAAAGTGTATATTAAACTAACAAACATGCCTAATTTCCATATCAATATGACCACCACATGACACTGAAGCATTATCATACCTTAATAATGTCCTCATCCTCCGACTGGCAGTGGGCATGCTGGGATACATCTGACAAATGGCCGTCTGTTCCCATGGTGACAACTCTCAAAGGCACAATCACAGGCCTGCCTGTCAGCACTGCTGTGTTCACCAACTCTGGTTTCTGCAAAGAACAGAGGCCAGGGTAAATGGTTGCATACATTATAATATAAACAAAACACACACGTTAATTTTCACACGGTTGCGCCATAGTAACGTAATAAATTAGAAATACGCAAACACGGTTCGACTATTAAAACACCTTCGTGATTAATATTTTTTAAACAGCAACCTACACATAGACCGTATTTGGTTGACTAATTCGATTTCTGTAAGTGTACTGGTCAATTGGTATTGAACAGGATGCTGCCGTGGTATCATAGTTAACACACTGGACTTGCAATCCAGAGGTCCCTGGTTCATTCACCTGACGTCACAGTTGAATCAATGGGTGAGTATTTTAAATCCCTCCACCTCTGTCCACCCAGCAGTATATATGGGTTCACCACAATTCGTTTATCAGAAGGTCATGGTTGCGAGATGTTAACTACCTTGCCTGGTATACAGGAGGTGATGCGTTCAATCCTGACCCTGTCACCTGTATATTTGGAGTTTGCATATCCTCCCCATGGTCGCATGGATTGTTCTTCAGGTCCTCTGGTTTTTCCTTCCACATTTAGAAATATGCATCTAGAGTATTTGGCTGCTGTACATTTCAACGTGGTAACCCACTCCGTTGAGCTATCATTTGTGGCCAGTTCACTTTTTTAAAAAATATCTACAGTTCAGTGGACTTTACCTGGTAAAATCCAAAGAGTTTCGTTTTAGTTTAGTTTTTAGACATGTAGTGCAATAAACGTCTGGCAAGCATGGAAGAGTAGGCCAAAGTCTATTCTCGAGGCGTTCTCTTGAGCTCGTCTAGTGTAGGCCCTTTTCCCAGAAGTGGTGTGAAGAAGACAACGCAGAGCTCCGCCTTTACCATTTACACTACTATTCAAATAACATCTAAAGTTTCAAACTATATTGTAATTCTGCAAATACCTGTTTTTAAACTACTTCACGAGATGTGAAAGGCTGCCTTTTTGGAATAATCCACACACGTGATGTGACGTGAACATACAATGCGGCTGGAAAATAAAATAGCGCAGCCAATTTTGTCCTAGCTGCGAGGAAAGGTTATATTGTGTATAGGACAGGCACACCGGTTTCTTATCCGACATTTGGAACAGTATTTTGGGAAAGATATGTTTTGCATTCCTTACCACACTGTTTATCTGACAATACAACGAAGTCCAATATCCAAGTCATCATAAAACAGTGATGAGTAAATGGCGCATCGGAACGTCCTCCAACATTAACGCTGTTAAATTATTAATCAAAGTCACATGATTCCAATGTCTTTCAGACATTCTTATTTACAGCTGATGTGGCTTGCAATTAAGAATTAAAATTAAATTACCTATGAATTTATCATTTTATATTAAATTAAAATGCTAAAACCTTTTCGCGGAGTTTCTGTTCCTCTTCATTGTCGATCGGCGGGTGTGTTGTAGCGGACTCAGGTTATGTCACAATTTTTTTTAAAAATGCTACAACGTTGCTAGGTTAGCTATTCCATTCGTATGTATGGCAATATGCTCAGGAGTTGAATGCCAATGTCAAGGTCTGCTAGCCACGAGAAGGTTGCTGGAGAGAGTGTGTGTGCTTTCGCTATTCTTCCATTGATGGAGCACAGACTACAGTGGTTTACTATATGGTCCATATGTTGAGTTGCATGGTCACAATAACACCGTGGCAGTCTTTAATTTTCCATTGAAGTCAATGCATTTGAGCTGCTTACAGTCAGAAGCAGGGGTGAATAAAACAGAGCACCTGAAATGAATACAATGAAAAACCTCTCTGGATTCACGAAATGCATAAAAATTCTTTGGAGATTTTTGTTTTTCAAATTTTGGGAAATGCTTTGTCACAAAATATTCAACATTGTCAGATGTTGGTAATTGATAGAATGATGTATTTGTGCACGCGTGGATGTGTCTTTTCCGTTTCTGAAGAAGCTAAAGGCACGTGGGGCAAAACGTCGGACATCACTCCAAACAGCAGGTGGTACAACTCGATAACACATTGGAGTAATAATACGTACAATTCACTCTTGAAAGTCCGTGGTGTATATATATATATGTGTACTTAGAGTGCAATAGATTTCTTAACTGCAATTAACGTTAGAAAACTACAAGTGTAGTTTTATTATATAATAAAATAAATACAATATTTGTTATTAAGTAGTGATTCAAAGCCTCTCGATTACCGTTCTACATCCCCCCATATAAACATTCACTTCTCCCGCTAGAGGCAACCCCAACCTGGGTGGTGCAGTGAGCTCAATCCACCCCCTCTTCACCAAGCCCTGCCCCGGTGTCGGTCTCGGGGCGTTTTATGTCCACCACCAACGCTCCCTTCTTGTCTTCTTCTATGATCAGTGCTCTGTACCGGGCTTGCATTGAGTTGTAATATAAACATTTAAAAAAATAGAGCAATAATAAGTATTAATAATGATTAAAATCCAATTACAATTAGCTGATGAGAGATTGGGGTTTCTATCTGAGTGATTGGATAAAACAAAATGTTTAATGAATCCAATCAGCTCCAATATGGATTCAGGGTGTGATCATACCCGAGGTGATCAGGTCCCATTTGATCAAAACAGTGCCCCCATAGTCATAACAATAGTGACACTATGTAACACAAATTTTGTTCCTGGGTAGTAAGTGTTATTTCGTAATTGCTTATGCCTAAAACGTATAGAAAATGGATATTATTCCCCACAAACTTTGCTTTTGTGACCAGGACAGTGATATTTTGAAATTTACCTATTGTCAATGAGAAAACGGGCGAATCTGTGTATTTTTGATCACATAAAGTCAGAAAAAAACAACATGAATCGAAATGAACATGCATTTATACCAAAATACAAAAATTACTACAAAAGATTTAGAAGTTAGTTGTTTTTTGATATTTACGATTATACTGTAAATCACTTTCACAAATCAGTCCTCAAATGTAGTCTCCCATCATGTTCTCGTCATACTGTCCTTGGTAGCGGTGTTCAAAGTCAAGTATATCCTGGTGGAAGCGGTCGCCTTGATCCTCCGAGTACGCTCCCATGTTCTCCTTGAATTTATCAAGATGAGCATCAAGGATATGGACTTTGAGGGACATCCTACAGCCCATTGTGCCGTAGTTATACACCAGTCTCAACCAGCTCCACATAGTTGTCGACCTTGTGATTTCCCAGGAAGCCACAAATACTGCGACAAAGCTGTTTCAAGCCGCTTTCTCCTTCCTAGTTAGCTTCTTGAGGAATTCATTGCACTCCAGCATCTTCTTTATCTGTGGTCCAACGAAGACACCGGCTTTGACCTTTGCCTCAGACAGCTTAGGGAAGAAGTCTTGAAGGTACTTGAAGGCTGACAACTCCTTATCTACAGCTCTGACAAATTGTTTCATGAGGCCCAATTTGATGTGCAATGGTGGCATCAGCACCTTCTGGGGGTCCACCAGTGGCTCCTACTTGATGGTGTTCATCCCCACGGAGAACTCGGTCCACTGTGGCCAGTCCTGCCTGTGGTAGTGTGCCTTGGTGTCCCTGCTGTCCCAAACGCAAAGATAGCAGAGAAACTTGGTAAAACCGCCTTGGAGACCCATCAGGAATGCCACCATTTTGAAGTTTCAGATGACCACCTCCCAGCTGTACTCATCATACTTCAAGGGTCCAGCAATGTATTGATGCTGTTGTAATCCTCTTTGAGGTGCACCGAGTGAGCCAGGGGAATTCATTGCACTCCAGGATCTTCTTTATCTGTGGTCCGACGAAGACACCAGCTTTGACCTTTGCCTCAGACACCTTAGGGAAGAAGTCTTGAAGGTACTTGAAGGCTGCCGACTCCTTATCTACAGCTCTGATAAATTGTCTCATAAGGTACCATTTGATGTGCAGTGGTGGAATCAGCACCGTCCACCAGTTGCTCCCACTTGACGTTGTTCCTCCCCACAGAGAACTCAGTCCGCTTTGGCCAGTCCCACCTGTGGTAGTGTGCCTTGGTGTCCCTGCTGTCCCAAAGGCAAAGATAGCAGAGAAACTTGATAAAACCGCCTTGGAGACCCATCAAGAATGTCACCACTTTGAAGTCTCCGATGACCTCCCAGCCGTACTTATCATACTTCAAGGCGTCCAGCAAGGTCTTGATTCTGTTGTAATCCTCTTTGAGGTGCACCGAGTGAGCCAGGGGAAGAGACGGGTACTTGTTACCATTATGGAGCAGCACGGCTTTGAGGCTCCTGGATGAGCTGTCAATGAAGAGGTACCACTCATTCTGGTTACAGGCGATTCCAATTGTCTCGAACACTGGTCACATTGTGGCAGAAACAGAGCCCATCTTGATGGGTGAAGAAGCTGCAAAAGGGTTGGTGACGCGTCCTCTGATCTGCAACTTGCACACTTTCATCCAATAAGTTCCACTGCTTGAGTCTAGACGTCAAAAGCTCGGCATTGGACTTGTAGAGACCAAGATCTCTGATGAAGTCGTTGAGGTCCTTTGGGTTGGGGTAGTATGGGTTTCTCTCCTCAGCTCCACCTCTGAAATTGCCATCTGGATATACAACATCTTCCTCACTCTCTGACTTGCTGCTCTCTTCTAAAGACGGCTGCTCTCTCCAGAGTTTTTTTTTTGCATTGCTCACAGGTGAAATTAGGTGCTCAGGGTTTGTCTTGATCCCCGACAGGCATGCCGAAAATATGCTTTGTCGGCCTCACACATCTTAGCAGATGCTTCCACAGTGTACTTTTTCGCCCTTGTCTTGATAAATTGGCAGCAGACATAGCAAAATGCGTCTATCGGATGCTTACAGCCTCTTGATGCCATCTCAGAAAAATGCAGATATGTATCCACTTAGGCAGCTGGAGCTAAACTGAACTGATGGGCTTAAGCCACCTGTATTAATACTACTATTTATATTACTGGAAAGTTCGAGAATGTTCTAGAAGTTACTCCAAGTTTACTCAGCACTGAATCTATCTGGAATGTTCTGGAAATTAGGTAAATTTCTAAATATCAATTTGTCGGG